TTACTACACAGTTTGTGAAAATGGATTAAAATACACTCAACAGTTGTGTTCAGGATAAAAAAGCAGTTCTCTTTTCAATAGATTTTGCGTGGATTGCTGCTGTCTTGTTTTGCAGTATCTCACTCATTGTAGGGATGTCCATGAACATTAACGGGGTGCCTTACTATAGGGAGAGGCAGCATGTCCACAATCTTGCATAATATTGACTTGAAGACCTGTGGGACCAGACTTCAGAGTATAAGCGTATTTATTTCTCATTTTATATCCACCTTTAAAAGCGGCAACTCCTTGCCAGAAGCCTCCCTTTCATGTTGTTGCTGTCGACAGACAGACAAGCAGCAGTAAAATGCTAATAAATTTGACTGGGAGTGCAGCGATGCTCGACGCTCTGATCTGAAATTCCGATTGATGAATTGGAGCACTGTGAGGCTCTCAAGGTGAGTCAGACTCCTACCAATTTATACCTCTCTTCCAAGGCAGTTGCACACCTCGTCTCATCTCTCACTGCCACTCCCATATACGTCTACACATGACATTTCATTTTCACCTGCTTGTCATGGAGAGCCATGAGTCGGTTTGCTTCAGAAGCTAAAACAAAGTGGGAAATCAGTAGATCAGAGGATGAACCAAACAGCAGCGCCAGTTTAGCCTCAATACAAACACAACACGTCATCAGTGTCAGAGGCAGCAGCACTTGCTGTGTAGTTCCACAGAGTATGGACAGACTTCATCATATCCAATATACAAGCAGCTATATGGAAGAAATGGTCCATCTATAAATTTGTTAAACCTATTAATTCCATCTGAAAAGATGTATCTGGGAGTTCCTTACTCTCTAATAGTTTATTGTTCCATCCCTCATGACACACACTTTGGCCTTTGAGCATTCACTGCTGCCGACTCTTATTAATACATCTGCTCTGGAGATTCTTTGCAGACAGGCAGCCTGCTGTACTTTATCCAGTCTGCGATTTGTTCAATACTTGTGTCAAATCCCCATTACAGCTGAGCCTGAGGCAGCTCTTGGCTTGAACGGTTAGGTGAGTTTCAAGTGTAACCTCCAATGTTGTGGGTCACTGTCCAGTTGAACTGACACCTCTGTGTAAAACTGCTAAACTGTCCTTTCCTTCAGGGCCTTTGTGATAATAAGTTCTGGCAATTATAAGCATACATACAAACACACGCATGCATGAATGGACATACACAAGAAAGAGGCATCGAGAAGAGCAATTAGATTTAGTGCTAACTGACTATTGAAGTGTTTGCCTCAAATGCCTCAGCAGAGTGAACTGAGGATGTCATCCACCTGTCTTTATCAGTGCAGACCACTGAAATCAAATCTGTCCAGAGAGCTGGCTGACCTGCCAGCTATACAACAGATTCAGCTACTATAACAGAGGCTTGCCCTTTGATCAGTTGGTCGTAGTTATCAAACAGGGACTATAGTACAACTTGAATGCATGGTAAATGCAAATGGTGTGTTGTTGAAAAGCAGCTATACTCTTGAGTAAAAAGGAATGACAGTGACCAATTACCACACAGCCACTTGTGCAGGTTTGAAATCCAAATTTTACTTTAATGTGATGAAACTCATTGTTGACTGCAAGTATAATACGAGGCTGAGTCACACTACTTATTCCATGGTAATGAATTAAGTATAAAGATCAATGGGGTTTTGAGGGCTCCTGCCTCCCACACAAACTCAATTTCAGTGCTAATACTGTCATCTAGTGGCCATCAGTGTACAGCTTACAGATACAGCTTACAGTGTATACTGTTGGTAGTGGTCAGCAGAGTACAAAGTATATTTACTGTATTAACGAGCAATATTTTCAGATCACATACACATGCGGTCAACTAAAATGAAGCCTTACACCTGTTTTATTGATTCAGTTTAGAAACAGGAGAACCGTATACCTTTCTCTGCTTAAATTTACACCAGCATTATAACACCATGACTTCAAACCAGGCTGTGGTCTCCTCCGAGCATGTGAGATCATTTACATGAAACCTCAGCTCTGCTAGAAAGACTGTGGAGGCACAAAAACAAATACATCTCCACATGGAAATTCACATATAAAATGTTCTTTACAGAAATCCTCACTAGAAAGCTTTGACTTGTGCTGGTGATTTGACTGGTTTCTACCATTATTACATGCATTAGTGAACACTTTAGACGACTTAAGAGCATGGCAGCTTAGTGAAAAGAGTTAGCTGCTGATTACACCGGATGTAGAGGCCACCTTGCATAATGAGGTCAGCGCTAAACACAACTAGGTGCAAACTCCACTATAAATCGTGTGAAAGGTGTAAGAAAAGTCAACCTCCTAAACTCCATAAAACTTCTCAGGTAGAACGGTGTGCCCCCAAACATTTACTCTTTAATTACTCCATTATTAGTATTCAGGGCTGAGACACAAGAAGACAAGCATTACTATAGAGTACAAACTCACTCAAAGTTCAGCCATATGGTATCTCTCACATTTTGAGTTTACTTTTGTGGTTGCTGGTGAGTAATCAGACTCCTGGACTCAGTAAACTAAAAAAGGTTCAACAAATTCTCATGTCACAAACCAAACACTGAAAACCCGAAAACAGCTATGAGTCAGTGTGCTTCAGTGATAAAGGGCCAGTCAAGAGTTTAATGCTCACTATATGCGATTATCACCGAAAGCATTTCATTTAATTTGTTGTTGACATGTATAAATGTTTATTGCTCAGACTTGTTGGGCTCTTCAGCTCTGCATCAGAGGGCAAAGCTTCTCTGACTGTACTTCTGGAAGAATTGAGCATTTGCAGTTTGGGCTCCTAAACATTGAATCAATAAAAGTTAATTTTTTTTTAACTTAATCCTTTTGTGTAATTTCTCATTTATCTCCACAAGGAATTAAGAGGTCCATGCAACTTCAGAATATGTCAAAATAGACACAGATCCCAGTACAGAGTCATCAGGTCTATATAAAGATCTCTTTGGCCTGGTGGTTTCAGAGACTTCTGAGCGTCCTGTAATGACTTTTTATGTTCCAGACGCTCCACAAACTCTGACACCAGCAGAAATGTTTTTAAAAGCTCCTCAATGAGCCCCGTGCCACAATTTTCCACTGGTATGACTCACAGTCAGGGTTTCCACTGAAAGCCATTACTTTAAAAAAAAGGATAGCATGCTACAGAGAAACTGGCAGAGGTGAGCAGAAAGCAAAGGGCTGCCAGTGTGCCACATTCTTTATTCCACAAAGGATTTCTAAATTATGACTTGGCATGACTGAATTCTGTAACTCATAGATAGACATCCAGTGGCTGAAGTGCCAAAAGCCTCTATTTTGCCATACTGTTTGTGAGATGACGTAACTCACCCAACCGCATTAACTTAGGACTCAAATGTCAACAGTATTGACACAATGTAAGATAATCAAAGAACAAGAGAGATGTACAGTTAGTTTCGTTCTTACGTCATGGTATGATAAATAGACCATTTTACACCCTTGTGAAATTTTACCATACTGTGCATCATACGTTTGTGTTCTCTTCCCGTATCAGCTCGGAACTCAATAAACATTCCCGTCGAACAAGCAGCTGCTGTGCAGACATTTCTTGTTGACTAAAAACACAACTCGTGATGAATGGCGGTATGTGAAATGAAAGATGAAGACAACCACAGATTTCAGCCGAGTAATGACCTATTCATACGCAATTTGGTTTCAGATTAGGATGAGAACATCATAGGGAGAATCAGTGCATCACACATCTGGATTTAGACTAAACCATAAAGTGTACATTTTCATACATCTGTCAACTCTCTTCAGACACATGAGAAGAGGCTGTGTTTGCCCTTCTGCTTTGGAGTCTGGTTTCCGTGCTTGAGTCAGAAGCAGACAAATGCTGAAGCACCCTGGAGCCACAGATTAGAGGGGAAAAAATATCAACAGTGCAACGTGGCATTGAACAGCTGACTGGTTTCATCATTCAGGCTCAGTTCCTTCAAAAGGCAGCTCGTACATTTAACCCCTTGAGCCACACCTGCTGAATTACACTGGATTACATCGACTTGTACTGCACTTCTATACCTCCAAGACCTTCATCCAGTAATGTTGCGAGTAGACATGATAAAAAAGTCATTAGATGACTGAAAGTGTCAAATAAATAGTCGATGATAGCTGGACGGACAATTAACTAGAAACAATTTTGATGATCAATTAATTGTATTAGTTACTGTTATGTAAATATACCAAATTTCACTGCTTTCTGCTTCCTAAATGTGATTAATTTCTGGTTTTCTTGGACATCCATAGTGCTGTAACTGACAATTATTTGTATTATCTTCTAATATGCAGATCACACAGCTAATCATTTCATCATTTAGTCTTTAAAACATTAAAAACTGTGAAAAAATGCCCATCCAAGTTTCACAGTCTTCAAGATGATGTCTTCAAATGTCACTTGTTGTCTGACCAACAGTTCTTAAGTCAAAAGATATTCAGTTTTTGATAATGTAAAGCCAAGAAAGACAGCAGTCTCACATTTTTGAACATGTAGCCATCTAATTTTTGACACTTTTGCTTGAAATGACTGAATGTTTGAAATAATCAATTATCAAAATAGTTGCAGATTACTTTTTTGTCAACTGACTCATCACTACAACTCTTAATATCTTTGGGGACTCTTGGTCAGTCAAAACAAGACATTTAAAGATGTCACCTTGGACTCTGGGAAACTCTGACGAGCATATTTCATTTTAAAAACTAAAAGATTAATAGAGAAAATGACTGGCTGATAGCTGCAGCCCTACATGTTTTAATGATAAGCTTTGAACGCACAATATCTGCGTTTGAGTGACCTTTCAGACTCTGTCCAGGTCAAACAAAACATATCTCACTAACTGTAACGTCTTATCAGGAAACAAAGTACATGGGGGCTTTGTGGTTATGTCATGAGGTCAAGTGTAAATACAGATTCAGTGCTGTGTAGTTAGGACTCGTAGGTCCTGAGTGCTGGGGTCTTACCTGTTTGGGGTCATCATAGAAGACACCGATGGAGCTCAGCTTTGGCCCGATGCTGCAGCTCTCTGTGTAGGCTGCACCGCAGTCCTTGTAAGATCCCTCTTTGAACTTATAAGCAATGGTAACATTCCTGATAGGAGGTGGCCCAGTCTTTATAACCACGTCTGACAGGAGCCCCGAGTAGACCAGGAACCCCACCACTGTCACAATCAAACACACCAGGAACACGATTATCAGGATCAGCAGGATTAAATCAGACATGATTTCTCAAAGCGGTGCAGCTGCAGCCAATGCAATATGCAAAAAAAAAAAAAAAAAAAAAAAAAAAAAAAAAAAGAAATCTGTCAAAGCTAAACGTCCTCCTCCGGGTTACATACAGCGACTCTATGGTCCTGAAGGTTCAAACGACAACATACAAAACGTGGCTATCCAAGAGAAAGCGTGAATTTTTTTTCTTTGTTTTTTCACAGTCGCAACAACCAGAAGCGAAAGAGGAAACAGTCGTTCAAGTTGACAGAATAGACAGTTTGTTTATGGTATTTTCCCAAACAGTGGAACATGCTTCCTGGATAGACCATTCTCGTCTTCAGAGGAGGGAGGTGTGAATCGTTTTTATAAGCGACTACTTTGCATATATTAATCACAACGTCAGAATATGAAATATACATATACTACATTTAGTAAATAAATATTACTCTTATTGATTCATGTAAACCTCAGCAGGTGAGCATAGTTGACGCATTTATGGCAAAGATACCCCTACGTCTCATTATCATGGTTCAACCCAGAGGTCCGTGAAAAAAGATGATTGGGCGCCGTAACAAAAAAATACTGTGACTTGTCTTTTCATCAGTATTTTCCGTTTTTTCACTGATTCCCGTGCTCTGTAAATCATATAAAAGACTGACCTAACTGATGTTAGCGCTGTCAGGGCGTTTTCAGTGCTGTTTTTAGGGTCTAGAGTCAAACATTAAGGGTTTTGTTCAACCTACAGTACAGAGTCCTGCTGACGTCAAGTTCATCAAACTATGGAAATCCATTAAGGACAAAATAGAAAACAAATTTCAGGAGACGCTAATGGATTTGAGTGCGTACAGGGAAATATTTTTAAGCCCAGACCGTGTTTTTGAGGAAATATTAGGACAGATTTAAGCAAAAAAGCAATGATGATGATGATTTATATATACAATGATGTATATATATATACAATGATGATTTATATACAATGATATATTTGATATATTTACTTTCTTTACTTGGAACTCTATGCTCAGTGGTATGTGCTCTCAGTTTAATACCTGCCTTGCAAAATTTAAAGCTGCATCAATTAGTATTTGGCCACCAGGGGACAGAGCACTGCCAAAACAAGCTGATGGGTACACTGCTGCTACTACTGGCTTATATACAGTGGAGTTACTCACTGGCCCACTTGGTCTCAATGATCCAGGACCCGTCTAGCGATCTGAATTAGGCTGGGCTCAGGGTTTTTTTTATTATTATTTATTTATTCATGTTGAGCTTAACTTTTCAATGGATCTGTTTTGGACCCCTGAAAACATCTATTATACAGTTCTTAAAATTAAATACTAAAAATGTATAAGAAGTTTTTACAAACAATTGCCTACCTACACATCACATCTGATAAAGGCAAATCCAATACTCATGCAGCTTTTAGCTCTGTTTTGCTCTACCACAAACCCCCAAGGAATTGATGCAGGTAGCTCACATTTAACCATACATTAAATGAAAATCCAAAACAAGCTGAATAGGCTAAAAAGCTATGTTGTTGTGTGTATTACTTCTCTGTGACTGAAACCCTTTCACATTACACTGCCATTTGATTCAGTGTTAACATCAAAAATATTGACTAATACAGGTTTAGTACTGTAAAACCATAGCTAGTGAAGGCATACCAAACAACATTCTGGACTCATTTAAAGTAATACGGTAGCAATGATGCCATATAATTTTTTGTTAATCACAGGATGTTAACAGCTCAAGTGTACATCACTAGCAGTCAGATTGTACCCACACACCAGCACATGTACATGAGAAGATGAAATTTCACTATATTTATGCATCATAATAACATCATTAGCAGTAAAATCTTTGGATTTGTGTTTTTAAAAATAGGAGAGATATTTTCGCTTGTATCTGAGAGAGACTGCCCAACTAACAACCCAGTATTTTTTTAAGACAGAGATAGGTGTGAGCTTTCTTAACTTTTCCAACATTGGTCATGGATAAAATTCATTTGACCTTGCCTACCCTGAGAGAGCACCATGTGTCCTCCAAGGAAAACAAACCCTAAAATTGAATTTTTGTGCTTTTTATAACCTGTTCTAAAGCCCAGTTTTAAATAACAAATTTGAACAAGTCCATTTTGAAGATGAACAGCAGAGAGACAGATTTAAGTGAAGAGGTTATCCTTAGACATGTCCTAAAACAGAATATTGGAAATTATCAACAGTAGACCTTTACTAGGCTATTGGGCCATTTTTAAATTTTAACCATGGGAGTCTACAACAAATACACTATGAGCCCAAACAGTCAGTCACTAGTGCAATGTCGACAGACCACCTCCACAAAGTGGCACCTAATGACATCATCAATCCATGTTTTTCCTGGATTTCCAGTTTAGGGAGACAGTGGTTTGGAAATGTTGACTGTAGTGTCCAAGTAGGATGGTGTAGTTCATGTTATGCTGTTTTATGGTGGATTGTTCCTTCAGCACCCAAGCTGAAAACTTCTTTCTGCTGACAATTTGATTTGTTGGCTGAATGTGGGATTTAGACTTGATTTAGTCAGTTATAGAGGAAGGATGACTCCCATTATATATTCCAAAAAGGTTGTTAAAATGAGTTTTGTTCATTATTGTGATATACAATGTATTTTGGGTTACCTGCCTTGTGTTTTTTGTAACTCTGTGTTGTTGTCGGCACAAATATTAAACAGGATACTGAAAAGAGATTTTTATTCTCAATGAGCTTTCCTTGTTAAATAAAAGTTAGATAAATAAAAAAATATATAATGCAATGGAAAGTTCAAAGCTTCTAACTTTAGAAAAGACTGAATGGGACAAAAAAGACACAATTTGACCATGGAATGGATCATGAGGCCATTTATGCCCAAATGCATCATCAATACAAACCCTCTTATATATGTGCAATAATCGCTCCAATCCTTTAAACCCATGGGCTTTGCGACAGAGAACTGAGGTGGATGCATTTAAAAGCTTGTATATGTGTTATGGCAGTGTTATGCAAACTAATGCTTTGACTAAAGCAATAAATAAAAGACTAAGGTGTTCTTCTTGGTCTTTGTTACAAGTCTGTTTCATTTTCAGGTCGTGCAAACATTTTACTTCAATATCACTTCTTTCACATAAATTGAGATTTTACAGGGTGCCCAAGATGTAGTAATGTTAGGTAAAGGATCTATAGGTTCAATGTTTATTCTACTGTTTTAAAAAATTTCAAGTCTTTCAAGTCCTATTTTGACATGTTCTCCAATGAGCCCCCCAGGACCTCAGAGTATCATAGAGACTGTTCGCCTTCATTTAAAGTTTACGCTAATCAGTGCTGTCCCTCTTTATGGGATTTGACAGGAACAAAGATCTCAGTGTTTAGTCTGGGTGTGGTGCCGTTCTTTTCCCAGGCTTCACTAATTTTTGCTTGTTTTGAAAGCCAGCATTCCTATATTTGTACAAGTACTTTATATCACACATTTGGATTATTTTTTTTGTCATAACCTAATGGGAAAAGGATAAGCCTCCCCTGTTTATCACACACAAGACATGGGATAGAAAATGGCCTCTAGATTTAAAAATAAATCATTTTGTTTCTGTATCGAAGCAGATGTTTACTGTTAACTAATGTCTAAAAACGGTCCCTAATTGAGACTATTTATATCGTAATACTTATTATTTACTTTGAAATATAGGTAACATAGAATGACAAATCAGACTGAAACTAGCTCTCAACAATCCATATTTTATTTTGTCAATGTACATATTACTGCCACATACATAAAAATACAAGACTTTTGGTTATATACTGGTAATATTAACCCTGTACTTGCACATTATCCAATGAGCTACAGTATTCAATGCATTCTGAAAGTGTTCATGTAAAGTAAACAATAAATCAGATGGACATTCAAAACTTCAAAAGGCAATCCAGAAATGGGATTTTGACCTAAATGCAAACATTTAAAATCAAAGCCAACAGTTTATTATACCGTTATTTATAAAGTGTTACTCAGTCATCAGATTCATCTGTAATATCATCTGGAACCACATCTTCCTCTCTGTTAATCTTCTTACTTTCCTCAGAGTCACTCTCCTGGGCCTGGAGGAAAGCACATGACAAACATTTTGGCAAACATGCAAATTTGAAATTATGACCCTGCTTGCATAAAACAGAAATTCAGACACTACAGGACACGTTGTCCTGGGACTGACACCACATCCAATGGTTTCCCTGTTAAGTGTGTCAGCCACTTATTAGCTTTTTAGAGAGCTAAGTTATCTCATCATCCCACTGTCCTCTACAGTTTCAACTGCCTGTTGACTAACATGTATGGTTTAACCTTTACAAAGCAATGGACTCTGCAGCAGTAGAAGGAGACTGGCTGGCTTGGTTGTCTTATATAATTGACTGTGTTACTGCTGTGTGCTGCTTATCCGTTAAATAAAATTTTCATAAAACCCTTTCAGCCATTAACCACATTCTCAAACATTATTCTACTTGCCTCTTTTATCCAATACCTACTGGGCTCACTAGTTTTTATCCCCTTTTTTGGTTTTGTCAACTAATTCTTGGTTAAATCAGCCCTGACCGTGATAAACTAAAGACCACATTGTCTAAAAAATTTACAGAATCAACCCCATCTATTTTCCATTACAATATCTAAACCAGTATCAATTACACAATCTTTGTGATAAATACACTTCGAATATAATAAAAAAATCTTGTAATGGCAGGTACCTCATCCTCTGATTGTTCCTGAGGCAGCAGTGAACGTTGCTCTTCCTCCTCTTCATCATCACTTCCTTGTGACCTCTGAGAAAGAATCTCTTCACCCTGCAGCAGACATATAATCCATTTAAGTCCATGATTCAAAATGCACAGACACACACAAACACAAGTCCAATAATTTAATACCTTCAGGTTGCGGTTCTTCAGGTTGCCCATCCAAAATGCCTCCTGACAGTTGTTGAGCATCAGCATTGCCTTCACTCTGTACAAAAACAGCTCGAGGCTCTTCTTCAACGCTGGCACGTGGTTGGTCAGGCTTGTATCCTGATGAATCTGAGCACCCAACCAAGGCTTAGTTAATGAGCACCTGAGGTTTCATATATAGTATGTACTGTCCACACTTTCTCTGCCTGTCTTTTGAACAGGAGTGTCTGCACTCTCTGATTGCGTGATTTTGGCACCCGTGCATGCAGACAGATGTCTCCAACTAAAAAAAAAAACATTAGACAGGAATGAGTTTGAACCTGAATCTGTACCTTAGAATGTCC